CCCCGCCCGCTGGCCCGCCGGCGGAGCTGGTGCAGGTGGGCCCGGAGCATCGGGGCAGCCTGCACCTTGCTGGACCTGAGAGGTGCCGTGGTTCCGGGGCTGCAGGAAGCGACCCGCGCCCTCCCGCCAGGCGGTGCCACTGGGAAGTAGCAGCACGGAAGGCAGATCCCCGCCGCTGTCTGTAAGGAAGCCGGGGCCAAGGCATCACCACCGGGTGACCGCACGCATTGCAAACTGCCTCGGGCTAATTCCTCGTTATGCTGTAATTGTCCCCGCAGAGGCTCGTTCTGGCGCTCTCTGCAGTGCTCCTTCGGCTCGTCGGTGCCTTCTGAATTCTCATCTTGGCCCGCATAATGGTTGGCCAAGAGTTCTGTCCCGTCTGGGTTTGTATCCTCTACAAATATAATAAATATATCCCATTTCTTCCTTTGGATTATTACGTAAAAGAACAAAAAGAGCTGTAGCCGAGACGGATGGCACCTGTTTGGTTCGGTTTTTTGTATATTTTGATTTGGATTTTTTGGTTTGTTGGGGTTTTTTTTAATAATACTAAAGCACAGAATCACAGAATTAGTCAAGTTGGAAGGCCACCACCGTGGATCATCTAGTCCGACCTCCCTGCTCAAGCAGGTTCATTCTAGGTCATGCTAGGGAAGATTTATTGCCAAAATAACTCCAAAACTTAAAAGCGAAATAACATTTGAAAAAGGACTTGGTAGAAAATTAGTTTTGTTTGTGTGCAGTAGGATGTAAGTCGCTTTAAAAAAAGAGTATCCATTCTCATTTCTGGGTGTCTGCATAGTACCACATTAATAATATAGTAACTGCAAACTCATGACAAAAGAAAATTTTTTCAGAACCAAGGAGTCATTTTATCTTTATGACCAGACCTGCAACCTTTGGCCACAGAGGTATACCACTGCATACTAGGGTGAGTGTGTGTGGCATGGGAGTCTCAGATTCTGGGGTTTTTGTCCCCCCCGGCTGGTTGGCCAGCCCTTGTACCTTTAAGATAAATAAGGTTAAAGTGATGCTTTTTAATCTTATTTTGTCACGTGGTGATAATTAGTTGGTGATTATGAGCATCAGGCTCTTAGCATTACCTCCTGGCTCAGCCCTTGCACTGTGTCTCAGGATAGCTGCCGCTCCTCCCTTTGGCAGCTCTGACACCATACTAGAGCATGCTCTTGCCAAAACAGCATTCTCCTGTGCGGTAGACAAGCTATCAGGCTGCAAAATAATCCAAGCCAAAATGCCTACTGGTGTGAGTTCTTTGTTTTATCTTTGCTGTGCTCTTCATGGAAGTTAAAGCAACTTCTACGTTGCTTTACTTAATGCTGAAACACTGATCTGGTCCTACACAGAGCAACGTCAGTTTGGCAGAGCTTGTGCACAGGCGCACAGTGGCATACCTGGGGGTTACAGGCCAGATTTATCAATAAGGCACATCTCAAAAATGTGTAAATGGGAATTTCAGGCATTAAAGGAGAAAACTGCAGGTGTATATGAGGAGAGTCCTACTGTATTGAGATATTACCTCTATGTCATTCACAGGAATTTTTCCTCTACAGTCTTCTTCCTGCTAGGCTTAGACACCAAGGTCAACATCACTTACATCACTGCATGGAGGCAGTTATGCCCACTTGTTGCAAAGTAAATTTGGATCAAGGGATTTTAAAAGATTCTGATTTCAAATATCCATTCAAAACAAGGCAGGTTTACATCAGTTTTCATATAGACTGTTACCTAGTTTAAGAAGAAATTTCTGTTTATTATGAATGGCAATACTTGAAAATGTAACACCTTTAACAAGCACAAAGAAAACACACAAGAAACAGTAACAATTTAATAATTTTTCTTTATAGTATGTATTAGAATTGTCAATAAATATAACACCACATAAGTAGCTTCATTCAGTGTGAAAGCTTTGCCAAATCTTAATCTGAAAAAGAAGTTGTTTGCTTTCATTCAGTTTCACTAAATAAGGAAGAAGGTCTCAAAGAATTGAGACCAATTTAGTTTATATATTGCTTTCCTGTGGAATTTTAAACAGTGCAATCCTTCACAGTCAAGAAGAGATGAAAACCGTATTTAAATTGTCACTAGACTCTTCTGAAGTCAGTCATCAAGTTCTTCAGGTTAATATTGCTTCCTATAGTAACAGTCACATCACAGTGAAGATGCAGCTTGTATTACAGCAATTTTTCCAACCTTTAGGAAGTGGTGCAGAAAATTAAGGGATTTATTTTGTTGAATATGCCCTTCTGTAACAAAGCCACATCATTTTTCTTAGGTACATTACATATATAGATATTCCTTGCATGAATGGAATTAACACAAATTAACAGTATTTCCATACCTGAAGATAGAAACAAAGGTTTTGAAACTATTCCTAATCTTTGCCATATATTTTACAAACATTGAAGGAAGACTGGCATTTTCTTTCTTCTTTCCTATATATATATATATATTTTTTAAGTAATGGACATAAATTGCAATTGTAAGAGTCTTAGGGCAGAAGGACTCCTGTTGCTTTAGACACTGTACAAATACAGAATAAAAAAGATGATGAGTTTCCTAAAAGCTTTAGTAAACCATTTGACACTACGGATCTGAGTCATAATGACATTCACAGTTTCAGTTTAAAATAGTTTCAGTTTCTGAAATTATTTTAATTCTGCTCTTCATTCATTTTTCTCAGTAACAAGCTTGTTTTACAGGAAGCATTTTTGTTAACATCAGAACCCTGAGCCTAAATAAGTGCTATGTAGCCAACCAATCTTATTTGATCAATGATGCTGATTGATACATCAATTTTTACTGGTTTTTGTGTAATTATTTTTAAAATCTGGTTAATGTTCTAAACTAGTTCAGTTTTGCTCCATAGCCATTCAATATTTATCTCATAAATCCCTGTAGTAGCAGTGCAAGGTATTCCAGAAGGCACCAGTAATCTTTGGGTGTATATGGACCACTTAGACAATTACGACAACCTTACACAATTATAGCAATCTTCTCCAGAGGTTTGTGTGCAAGGACCAATCTCAGCTGAAAATAACTGAGATCCAAGAACACTTCTTGTTGTCAATGTATACTGTATGAAGCACTGTCATATAGAACTGCAGGGCATCACTGTGAAGCCAGAGCACTGATTCTTGGAACAGAATCCTCTGGTTAATCTTCAGCTGTGAATGTTTTACACCAGGCCAGAGGTTCTTAACTGGTTCTTAACTGCTGAACCAGGAACAGAATATTTTTGTTAGTGAGCAAACCCTAGCTAAAATTATGTCAGGGAGTAAAGATGAGTTGCAATGGCAAAGAGTATTTCCTGCTGTGGATTTAGCCTAGAGGTTCACCTGAAACTGAGCTGAATTATTCTCTAAGCTCCAGAGTGCATTATTTAGATCTGTGTTTTCTGTACCAGGAGCTAAAATTTGTCTTATTTGTGCTGGGATTTATTTGTGGGCATGAAAAATGAAGGAGTTTTTAATCTGGATGTGGCTCTCACTGGGACTGTTACTTTGAAGACATGATTATTTTTTGTCCTATGGGCAACAGAGTATCCAATTAAGGAAAGATTAAACTGTAATTGATATTAAAACATCCCAACTTACAGTGTAATTGTTTTAGTCTGTTAATCATAAAAATGTAAGTCTCCAGCAGTTCCAAGAATTATCTGTGAAATAAAAAGCTCTGTAAGAAAAAGTTATACCAAATACTATATTTCTATTCTTTTATAACATCAAATATGGAAGATACAGTGTTTCACTTCCATTCTTGAGCAGCAATTTAGCATCTTTTGTAAAAGAAACTGTGACTCTTCGACAGCTTAAAAAAAACATAAACCAATCAAAGAATATGTTAAAAATCCTATCATTGCAATGCTTCTGAGCTATCTAATAATACACTAGTAGTATCATCCTAAATCAATTCAGAAACATGCATTAAAAAAATTGGTGCTTTGAGAAAGTGTGAAAATTAAAAATTAAAAACCAATTTTTGACATTGCTCTTTGAAACATGTTAATCTACACTGGAAGTCATAGCAGGAAGCCACATAATTTCTTGACATGTTTATTATCTTGACTCCATGAATATTCATTAGAATTTACAATCTTTTCTTATTTAGCTCACTGAATTAGACATTTGCTTTTTCCTCCCAAGATCACGTTTTATGTATGTGGGTTTAAATAAATTAAAGGATTTTATATATATATATATAACTACTGTATTATATCACTATTGTATTACTGAAACAAACCATCAAAAAACCAATGGCTGAATGATGAAAGTCTTACATTTGTTTACAAATGTTGTTACAGTGTTCTAAGGGAAACAAGTTCCCAAATTATAATTTTAAGAAAAGCCCATAGATCAACATCACTGTATCAGTATATGATGCTGTACTATGGCAAACTGAGGTACCAGTTTGTGTTGTAATGCAATAGTCTTTCACCAAAGGAAATAAAATGCCAAAATCTGTCAATCCCTGCTTGGCTCACTGTGCTCTGGCAATCTTGCTGAACTATGCTGCAAAAGAGGTTGCTGTGTCCTGGAAACAACAGCTCCAACAACTCATAAATGGCAGACCAAGCATATAATTGGTGCCTCCTCAAAACTCACAAGTTTTATCATGATGCATGGCAAATAAAACATGGGCTGACTTCACTAGTTTGCCATTCAGAGAATTTCCTAATGACCTATCATTTGTGTGCATGCTTCCCTGACTAGCTAAGGATCAGTATGCCTGAGGGGGAAAAATGATAGGAGCAGTGACTCAAGGAGAAAGCTTTTGCCCTGAAGCTGTGGTGAGTTTTACTTCGAAAGTCATCCATATAAATGCAAAAAAATGACATGTAGCCTTATTATGCCTGCATACTCAGCAGTAACTGGAGGCAAGGAGTCCTCCAGGTACAGAGAGAATAATAAATGACTCTCATACTGTTTGTGAGAGGAACAGAAAAAGCCACATCTCATTTCATGTCCATTTTTAATAACATGAGGCTTTATGTCAATACTCTGATGTTACACATGGCAACTATAGAACACATGGACGCTCAAGTTTCTGATGCTAGAAGATACATCCTTATATTTTCATCAAAATTTGTCACTGAAGATGAAAAAATAGTGGGGTTAAGTAACACAACCACATTTTGTAGTACTAATTGCTATTGCAAAAGTGTTTATAAGGTGAAGAGAGCAGTGATGCAGCAATACTTGGACAGAACAGACTTTAATTCCTTTACAAGGCAGGGTAGAGGAGTATCCACCTTGGATGCAGCAGACCAACCCTGATGGTAGGAAAATAATTTAGGAGCTGTGCTCTAATGTGCCTGTTCTAAATACCTCCTCCATCAGGAGGAGCCCAGTTTGCAACAGCCATCTACATCAGCCAGGCATGGGTTAGCTCAGGGGCTTGAAGCAAACCGGACCCCCACCTGCCAGAGCAGTGCCAGGATCTGAACCCATGTATGGTCAGCAGCTCCATACAGAGAACAAGAAGCAGAAGCTGACTTTGACTGGTCAAGGGTGGCCTGGGTGGCCCTACTGAGCTTGCTCAGGGATGGCAAACGGCCTGTACAGCTGTTCACTGTCATGAGCTCTATTACTCCCACCCTGTTTGCTCCAGGCCCTCTGACCAAAAGGTTACCCTTTTCTAGCTCAGTGCTGGGTGCTGCTTCCCTCACCACTGAGTCATTACTGTCCTGCACCCAAACTGTTGACAGGTGCTCCTGCTGTGTAGAATCCAGATCCCAAACTCAGGAGACTGGGGAATGATGTACCTTTGGATAAACCTGCAGGGATCAACCTGGGTAAAGCAGAAAATTGCTGACCTTTCAGGGACTCCTCATGGAGTCAGCTTCATGACTCTGTTCAGCCTCCCTCTGAATTCCAGAATTAAGAATGAGGTTCTCAAGACTGGCTCTGCACAAGAAAGAGCACATGGACGTATGGAATTAGGTCAATTCTGTGTAAATAAAGAATAAACATATTGCTTCTAACCAGTCTGCCATGTTACAGTGAGACCCCGGGTGTGTACTGCAGGTAGGCCACCCCCACTGCTCGGTTGATTCTACTGGAGCACGATACAGAAGTCCTTTTAACATTAATGCCTGTCAATCATACAAAGATTTGCTTCAGGAGACACCCAAGCATGAAAAAATAGAGTAGCTAAATGTCACATGCCCAATGAGAAAGAAACTGACTAATATTGTTCTTACTTCCTTTAGGCAATCCCAGTAAGCAAGTAGATTGTGTGTCTTTTATCTGGCCACTTTTCTCCCCCTAATAGATGCAAATTTCTGCTTCTCACTATAAAAAACAGTAATTGTATCTGACACAGCTTTCATATTGAATCTGCTATTTTTTTCAGAAGTTTAATTAACTTTTGATTGCTATAACACATTTCAGCATCTGTTTTGTAATTGTATGAAGGACTAAACAAAACACTAATCTATTTTTAATCATGTATTAAATTTCTGTAGCTTTCTTTAAACACAACTAGCGGATAAAATCAACTGCTCAAATCACAGAACTGTACTTCCACAACAGGAATACCAACCTTCACTGCAAACAATTCTGACATTTGTGGGGACACTAAATTGGCTCTGCTGGAAGAGCTAGAGGTGGACCGATTCTGATGCTACAGAACTGGAGCTGAAGAAGCCATGACCTTCCTCAGAGGTATGGTGCAAAGCACAAAGATAAAAACCACAGTACCATCCTCCTCTCAACTTCCCCCAGAAGTCTGCAATGGTTCTTTCAAATGCTAAACAGACCTGGGGGGCAGTTTGGAAGGCAAAGTGTATGATAGTCTTCATTCTGTGTCTTCTCTGGAAGAGCTGTTTCTGGTAGTCTGCACAGGCATTGGGCAATAATTGTGGTCTTTGACTGACAGGACTGTTTATTTCTGCTGCCTGACTTGTACTAGGGAAATTTCTTTATGCCCTCTTTGCTTTTCTTATTTAAATACCTCTGGAGGAAGGAGGATGATGGTTGGGAGGCAGACATAGTCCTAAGCTCTGGACAGTACTTCGAATAAGTCAGTACTAAATACAGTCATCATAACGTGTCTTAGACAGTAAAATTATTCTAACACCACCCGCTAATCCTCTCTGCACCCACACCGCTGTTGAGCAGTACCTTGTCTCTTCTAGCTAATCAGCATTTCAGCTAACACTTCTGAGGCTGCAGTAGGCTTAACTGGGTCTTGAACTAGACTGTGAAATAGGCTACAAAAAGTAATCACCATATATAGGAGCCAGAGAACCTATTTGTGCCATTTTTGATAAGGCAAGTAGCTCAAAAAGAGAAACAAAATTAGTAAACTGGGAGAAAAGAGGAAGAAAAATAGGTCATCCATCAACAGAAAGCAAAGGACTTGACTCAGTTCAAGATGTATGAGCATAACGATCACTTCAGAAATAAATCACACTAACATTCTGAGCTGTCCTATGGCAGTAAAAACATCTTGAACTAAAGATAAACAATATATTTTTTGATTTCTTTGATCATTGACCTGTTGTTTCAACATGGCCAAATTAAAATTGTACTTTATTTCAACATTCATCTTAGTTTACAAATTATTTTGTGGAAATATCTTTACCTTAGAAATTTGATAGAAATTTGCAATTCATTGTTGCAAATTCCACTTTCCAGGCCATTCTCTGATGATGAATCTTTTAACAGCAATCTTTAACAGCTGGCACAAGGACATCCATCGATTCTGTCTCACCCTTCACACCAGTAGTGGCCCCCGCCCATGATTTTTACTAAATTATTCTAAGTGATTGAAATTTTTTGGTTTGTTTTAGAAGTGAAGAGTTCCACATTTGGAAATGGAGAAAATGAAATGTTGAAATCTAATTCTTCCCTTGACACTGGAGCCTTTCAGCTACATCTGTCCCAAAGGAGGTAGTTCTTCCAAGGCATAAGCCTTGCCAGCAACCTACTTTGTATCTTTGCTATCCAAGTGCCGCTGCAGCTTTGTATAGTTTCTCTTCAAAACAGATAGGGCCAACTCTGTTGATGTGATAGCTGCATGAAAGACCACTGATCATGTTTCAGACACCATAAACAAAGGAAACATCTTGTCCCTTCAAAGGTCCAGTCAACTCCTGCCCCTGCCAAACAGTATGCAACATCAAACTTAATAATAACAACAAAAACCCCCCAAAAACATCCCCAGGGAAGAATTCAACCACTTGAGATTATTTTAGTAACGGAAGAGAAGGAGAAAGCCAAGTCCCCGCACAGGCAGAACTTCCTTCCACCATCCACCCACCTCTTGACAAAAGGATTTGTTCCAAATATGCATAGAATCATAGAATCACAGAATCATAGGATATGCTGAGTTGGAAGGGACCAGTTAGATTTTCCAACTCCTGGCCCTGCACAGGACACCTCAAGAATCACACTATGTGCCTTAGAGCGTTGTCCAAACACTTCCTGAACTCAGACACCTAACCATTCCCACAAAGGGTAAGGGAAAACACACCTCCACTGCAATTTGTGAGATGCCATCTGCCCCTCTGAAGGAGAAATGATCTGAAAATAACCAGAAATGTATTCTGGGTACCATTCTCAAAATACTTTCAGATCCAGTGACAACAAGCAGAGAGGATACAGAAAATATTCTGGGACAACTGTCAAATCCAAAGCATGCAGAAAAATGTCTTTCTATAGTACTTGATAAAAATACCAGTATATTTTACGCATGGATGTATTCTTTAGATGTCAGGAGATGAGATTTTATATAAAACCCACAGACAAACCCAAATCCACACCTAAATTTATCCAGTAAATTTACCATCATTCTTTGGCATAAAAAGAGAGGCCCTTAATCTAACAATAGGCCATTAAGATTCAAGAAATTCAAGGTGCAACAGAATTATTTGGCTTCCCAAGGAAAATACAACATAATTCCACCAAGAATCCACAAATAAACAGTGATGTTGTACTAATTTTTCCTATGCAATGTTTCACAGGCATTTGTATTGAAACTTGCACATGAATAAATGTTCTCCATCAAATCTTGGTGTAAATAATGGCACAGCACCAAACAACAATCAATATCCTTATATATTAGTATCTCTCTATAATCTGCTGATTATAATTTGCTCAGACCGTAGCAAAATCCATTTTCCTTAACAATCAATTTAAATCACAAATATATATGGAAAACCCTCTCATTTTAAATGGATTTCTACCTCATTAGTCTTTCTAATGAGTCTGGGGATACTGCTTTCAAGTAAATAAACAGGAGGTATTTTAAATAAAATTAGCTGAGTTTAAATAAAAACATATTTTACAATACCCTACAGCTAGCAAAAATGAGCTACTTCATACACTAACAACCTAGTGCAATTGTCTGTTCTTTCAGGAAGGTTTGCTTTGGGAAGAGCAACCTCACAGAGCACACATCAAGAATCTTCTTTTAAAATGACAGACAGAAGCTAAACATATCCCTATGTGTAACATTGATTGTTTGAAAGTGCATATTGGCCCTTGCTGTTCAATAGGGATCTTTGGTAATCTTACACTATGATTGACTCCAGGAACTAAAATTCAGCTTCTTACACTGCTATATATTAACTCTCTTATTTTCAAAAAACCACTATTTTTAAAACACAGTTGTAAAAATAAAATCTTCAGTCATAAAATTAATTTGGAGAGAGATACTGAATTCCATATCATTCTGTCCTGACTTGAAGGAAGACAGAATTGTTCAAAACTTGTCTTTGTCATAATTCATGTATGGGACAAAGACAAAACTCCTTCAGTTTTGGAGCTGTCCAAGGAGTATTAGGTTATATGGCCAAAAACCTGGAAGATAATAAAAGAACAACTTGCAGTATTTTAACCATCCCCATTAGCAGTGGAAGTTCATTTCAAAACTATGCACTTCTTTTTCCCTGATGATTTGGCTCACTAGCTATCCAGATCCCTTTTAACTTTTCCGTTCCCTCTGCTCCAATGCAGTATCATTGAAGAGAAACACTCCAACTTGATAGACTGATCTCAGCCACCCGAAACACAAACAAGTAATGAAATAACAAACAATATTCTAATTTTCTTTTCCGTGCATAAACTAAACAGCATGCTTCTCTTATCACAAACAAGTAACATTTCCCCACCAGAAGACAAGATCTTTAATTTCTCACCAAACTAAGAAACCAAAGCCCGCTTCCTGCTAGCTACTGAAGCATCGGTAAGTAGAGCTGCGGAAACATTTTGTTTAATTCTGTTCCAAAGTTTGTATTTAGAGCTCTCCATAAGGAGGGCAGGTCAGAAACCCCTGTTTAACCATCCGCCGGCTCCCCGGGCTCCAGCCGCTGCCGCTGCCGGAAAGGCGTGGCCCGACCCGCCCTCAGCGCTGCGGGCCCGCCATGGCT